CAGAAAAGTCTACATCAGGGAAACATCCCAGTAAGCCTGTTCATTTTGTTTGTGCCTGAAACTGGATTTCAGGTTTACACAGCCGAAGAATCGCTCTTTGTCCGCTTTTTTTTTATTCTCGCCATGGTCGCGGTATTTCGAAGGAGCGATTGGATTCGTATCCCATGTTCTGGGTAAACATGTACCACGTTATGGGTGATAATTTCTATCACGTTGGGATTTTCCTGGTCGGCTCGTCAAAAGCCATGACGATTAACCGGATTGCCGGGTCGAGGGAAGGCAGGGCGTAGCAGAGCGGAGCAAAGAATCGCGGTCGTCGTCTGGAGCGTCGAACAGTGGCATAATGGAGGCTCGAAAACGAGGCGAAGTGAGGTGAAGAGAGCTGACCTACTGTCGCAAGTAGCTCAGGGACGTCGCTGTCCAAATCGCCTCTCCACCCTTCCCTCGGACCCGCTATCCGGTACGGCTCCATGGCGTATCGTCCGTCTATCCGCGCCGAGTTCTTCCCACCTCTTCCCTTTGGCTCTTCCTATTCCGCCGACGACTCTTCCGCCTCCGCCACCCATCGGACGAGTCCTTCGCCACCTGTAACGGATTGCCGGGCTTATGCGAAGCCCAGGAAACCCGATGAAAAGCCGGGAAACGCCGATCGATCTCGCCGACCGGGACGTCGGCTTTTCGGAACTTCTCTCCTTGCCTCGTTATGGGTTCTCATTTTTCTTATTAGTTTTTCCTTGGCTTTACTTCCTATCTTCCTCTTTTTGAGTATTCCTTCGGTACTTTTATGTGAAAATTCTCGTGGGATGGTGGAGGGGGGTATAATTTTCATCTTTAATGGGTGCAAAATGATAATCGCTGGACTCGGTCATTTGCATGTCGAGACCACTCGAGGGCGTGAAAATTTGGGAGAGCGACGAGAACGGTTGGAGATGCGACGCGCGTGCGAGCGACTCGCAGGCAAGGCGAGCGTTTTGAGGTTAGGTGGCGGGTGTCGAAATCAAGAGTTCTTGAGAAATGCTAATGGAGAAAGGAGAAGGGTGGAGGGAACGGCGTGCAAAACCGTAATCCCGATAGGCCCGTAACCGTGCACGAGAGCATTCGCGGGAATAACGCGGCTACGACATACTCGTGAGATACTATCCTTGGAAGGGAGTTCGGCCTAACCTAACCTAACCTAACCTAACCCACCTAACATCTCCTCGAATCTCTCGAATTCCCTCGAGGGACGCGTCTCGTCGCTTTCACGTAATTTCGAGGAAAAAAGCCATCTTCGCGTCGCCGAGGAGGCTCAATTGGAGAGGGAAATGTTACAAGCCGAACTCTGGGCACGCGTTTAAAACAATACTGCGTGAAATTGGCTTTAGAAAGCAGCTTCCAATTTGTCGCGAATTAACGGCGTGGAAATGAATACGTTTAGCTGGGGTTTTACGGGCCCGGCTGACAAAAGATTAGAAAGTGCCGATCGTGGATGGACTCGTCGGGATTTGGGATCGATTTACACCTGTCCGATCCGTCTCCGATCCGTCTCCGATTTGTACAGAGACGAACATGAATGCCCTCCATAGAGATAGGTATTGCAATGTGAAAAGCCTGTTTACACCCGACCGATCGTGGAAAATCTGAAGAGCTCCCACATAGCCATCTAATCGTGAAAATAGATCCCATTTGTGATGGAGGTAACAGTCAAGCAATGGTACAACACGTAATCTCCGAATATAAAAAATACCAAATAGCAAGAGAAGGCTTTAAAGTATTCAACTCAATTATCACAGCTCTCGGGGACCCACATGAAATTAGCGAAACCCTAAAGTTCTTGAAAGAAAATCGACCTTTATACTGCGATTTTCGAATGTCCACCGTCGATGTGCTCTCTTCGACGGTTACATGGGATGGAAGGAGGCCTATAAATATTACATATAAAGGATGGCATAAATTTTACTCGGCAGACAAATAAGTCGAGCCAAGTCGGCGCGGCCAGATGAAAGGTCACTGGCGTGGTACACTCCTTACATTGTAAACTCTTTCGCATAATTCAATTGATGCAATCGCGAGGCGAGAGGGCCCGATGCAACGACGGGGTGCGATCGAGTTATTATTGTATGTCGCACTTGTCGGTGATGCCGCTTGTCTGGAATTAAAAATACCGATGCAAGAATGGCATGCTCAGCATTCAAGAGAAGCAATTGGAACAACGTAAGTTGAGGTAAAAATGCAAGGTCGAATTATTATTACATAGGATACTTATCGGTGGAGTTGCTTATCTGGGATTGTAAATGTCGATGTAAGAAGAAGTTTTTCCTTGAGAGAAGTTATTTCTTTACCTCCATTCGAAACTGAGGTATTATAAATCACACCGAGCGAATAATCTCACATTTACCTGAAATTCAAAATTATAAATTATGCAATCCTCGCTCATGATATTCAGAAGCAGGTATTAGAACGGGCGATCACCTCGATGCGAAATTCTTTCGAAAATGCGACCAACCAATCCGTGCAATACCCGTGCACGTTGCACTTTATGCAGGTTTACATGGCAGATTTACGCGCCGTCTTTGCGCCAATGATTTTTCCGCCAAGAATCCCTGTTTACCGCCTCATGAAGCCGGTGGTGCTTAAAAGCCGATTTTACGAGAAGTTGCGAAATATCCGACTATTTGCATAATTTCAAGATAGGGCAATTAACCACCTTGTCGGTCCCTCGTGGTTGCATCCGAGTCAAGGGAATGCCGAGATATCGTCGATAAATAATCACGGTTTCCCGTGACCCGGCGACCTGTGTGAACCCTTTCGGATTTCTGAGAAAATCCGCCGATCGAACGTTTGTCAAGTGCCTAATCGGTTGTGATAACCGCGATAATGAGCCTGCCAATTATCAACGCGGGGGAGAATTTCCGCGAAATTTTCTCACGTTGCGAGGTTTCTGCATCCGAGTCTGGAAATCGATACCGATCGATGGGAAAATTCAATCGTCCCTCCACACGTATCGGGAAACTGTTTCGATGTTGTAATCTCTGCTATTAGCCATTATACGGAAATTGGGTCATTTTGGTTCAGTGTCATTGTATCGTAAATCTGCACTTTGCATATGCAATCTGGCACTTTATCATATTCTCGTGTAGGTAGTCGCGATTAATAATAGTCAAGAAGGGAAAACATGAGGATCGGTTTTTTAACAACTTTTTTTTGTATATATTTATGATTTAATGAAATTGGGTGAACATGCCTCAACTTCTGTTTAAGGGGTAAATAGTTTTTCTATAGCGTCTACATGGTATAGGTATTTAATTATTTATAAATTCGTTTCCGATCGTTTAAAAAAATTCACTTGATATGAAAGTGACATTAGAGGAGCCAATCGTTTCAAGCTTCACCACACAAATGACTCTAAGGAAAGTTCTGACACTCATAAAATTTTATGTTTTGTAAAAAATGAAAAAATGTCTATAAGCAAATTATTAAAAATTTCAATTTCATAGGTGTCAGAATTTTTCTTACAGCCTTCAAGTTCACATTGTAAAATTTGGTACACCGAGCTCGGGGAAAAGTTTCATGAACGATCGATCTCTCAGACGCCACTTTCATATCACCTTAAGAGGAAGAAGGGGAGCGATCGCGAGTCCGTTATCATCGCGTATCACCATATCGGACATCCGCACCTATAGTCGCCATATTAGATCGGTCGAGAGGCACTCTTTGCTCACTTTCAAATAATAACTCCCGCCCACAGGGCAGAGTGAAAATCGGCACGAGACTTTCAAATTGCTCTTTTCTACACTCGGACGAGCGGCGTCACATTTTCACTCGGCGTGGTTTTCTCTCCGACTCCGATTCGCTTTCCTGGGGTTCTTCCTCGTGTATCTCGCTATTTTCATCGTCTTCGTCCTCGGCTCCTGCGATTTGCGACCAGACGCAAACCCAGATACGGAGGAAGGGGACTGGGAGAAAAAACACTGAATAAAAATCCACCTAGGGAAAAGTCGCACGGATTAATCGGACCGAGAAACGATTTCGTTCCTTGTGAGCGCGTCGAGAGCGAAGAAAAAGATGAAACGCCGAGGACCATGTGAAGGCCCGAAGAAAGTCGACGAAGAATCTCTATATTTAGCCGTAGACTCGTCTAAGTGTTTTTATCACTTTCTGTCGTTTTTTATTATTTTTTTTTAATTCGTCAAAGCCGAACCCTTCATTCACTCGCCCCCCTCGCTTCTGTATATTCCTTTATTCGCTTGTTATTCTTACCTCCTTCACTCGTGCTTATTTCTTATTCTTTCTTATTCCTTCACCCTTGGTTTATACTTTATTCTATCGTCCTTATTCTTTAGCCTCCTTTCGTCGCTCTCTATTCACTCGTTCCTTTTCTCATTATCCTTCGACTCTCCATTTTATCAATTTTTTTTTTCCCTTACATTTTCACTTTACGAAATACGTAAAGGATTTTTTAAATATCGCCCTCTGTTCGCTCTTACCTTAATAAAAAGGCAATGGAAGCAAAAGAGTGAATATAGGGACCATATTCTCGCTCCTTCTCTATATTCTTACGTGAAACTTGCACAACCCAATATGGCGGCCGCCATAGCAAAGAGAAAGGAATCCCCTTCGCTATTTCTTACAGCCTTCCCAGGAATATCAAGAGAATATTTGGTTTTGCGGGCTCCGGGTATTCCGGAACGAGTTTCTCGCCCAAAACAAACGTATTTGGCTCGAAATTCTGGCGAGTTTCTTGATCCACGCCTCCGGGTCTCAGTTTTCAGGAACGGCTTTCCGCAAACTCTGTACACAGCATTCAAAATGGCCGCAAAACGAAGGCGTAGGTGGATCGTTTTATCCGGGTTTTGTGACCCGTTCGCCATTGCCCGATTATTTCTGGATCGGTGCAACGGCGGGGCGAGGAATTCCAAAGGTCGTTTTGCGTATTTATAATTTCCGCGTGAGAAAACGCGAACGCGTCGGGCGCTCCTTCGACCTGTGTTTTCCGACCGTTTTCTTTTTTTTGATTTCAGATATCCTTTGTTTGAGCCGTCCTCGGGCGTCGTTGCTTTAATACGAACTATGTCCACGAGTAAGTAGATTTTACGATTTTCTTAAAAGTGGCCCCCACCTGCCCCTCCTCCTTCGCCAAGAGAGATTTCCTTTTGCTTCTCGCCTTCGAGAAAAACGGACCTCCCGACTTTCCCTCCGCGGTTTTCTCCGGGTGCGAGGTCGCTTTTCAAAATCCTTCTCGCCCGTTTGAGTTTCTCTCGGCGAGGTTTTCTTCCGGCCGAAGAAGCGGGCCGAGAGCGAAAGTTACGAAAAAAAAAAAAAAAAGAGGGGGAAGGGGAAAGAAGGATAAAGATGGAAATAGGGAATAAGTACTCGCCGCGGTTTCGCGGCGAGAAATTAAACATTCTCCCTCTCTTAATTACCAGACTTGGTACTTTCTTGAATGTCGACTATTTTATACTATCGGCCGCAAAGTCACCTGATAATTTAAGTCGTGCAAATCCGAGACTGCGATACGTCGTTCATGGTTCATTTATTTCATGCTCTTCGCTTTTTTTTTTCGTATAAATTTTTTAATATTCTGAGTGATAAGTATTGCTTGTTACACTTTGGGTCGGAGTTCCTTAGCGGCAAAACGTCTCTATGCATTTTTTCCTTTTCTCAGCTTATGTTCGTGATTTTACTCTCGATCGGTCATTGAAGCGGCCGATTTGAAGATTCGTGAAGCAAGAATAAAAAAGTAATGAGATATGTACATAGGCACGGGTATATGTACGGATTGCCGCCGCGGATGCAGCGAAATGACATCACTCGTCCTCGGTTACGTAAAGAGACGTCGGGCGTCGGGATGCCAACGCGACGCGAGGTGCATCTCGCGTGTTGCCATAATTCGTCTCACGTGTGAGCAGACGTTGCGGGGACGATTCTCGACTATCGATCCAACGTCCGGGAAACAGTGCACTTCCGGCCTCGTGGATCTCGATAAGTCGCTCTTGGCCTTCGGCCATTTTATTTCATTCTTGAGATTATTATATTATTACGTTATCCGCGACGTGGCGTGACGACGTTACGTGCACGAGGCTAAGATAGGAAATGAACGTGAAAAGGTCGGAATTTGCCCGTTTAAAACATGCTTCGAGACAAGTACAACGTGGTCGCGATGTTGAGAGACTGTTATCAAATAATATATATTTAACGTACGAGTAGTTTTTGACTTCATGGATTAATTGCTTCCCTTCGTAAATCGAGGGTTCATGAAGTTCACCGTGGACGATTTAAAATTAAAAATTCCGAGCAAAAGAATTCCTAAGGACTAAAATTCGTATAAATCGGGAGTTGGTACGGTTCACCGCGCATGATTTGAAATCAACATTTCTGAAAAGGAAGTTATCGATGAGAAAAATTTCTTACCCGGGAACTTGTGTAGTTGGTCGTGAATGGTTTAAAATAAAGATTCAGACGAAAAGAGTTCGTAAAGAGATAAACTTGTCAAGTTCGGCTCATACGATTTGAAGTAAAAGTTCCTATCGAAGGAACTCGTAATGATATGAACTCCTAAAATGGGAATGGGTAGAGTTCTCCTTAGACTTTCTTGAATGTTAATTTGTTTTCCAAAATCTACAGAACGTCCCGAAATTCATTATAATCCTACATCGCGGGTCTAAATTGAAGAAAAATTTAAAGACGGTTTTAACGGATCGGAGGGTCTGGTTCGTTTTTTTAGAGGCGGAAGATATCCGGAAGGAGAGGTCGTAAATAATGGCACCCGGGACGTTAGCGGTCGGGTGCCGATTTTCCAGAATTTCCTGGGAAACTTTGAGACGTCTTGTCACCGGGGAATCGGTATATTTTAATTGATTGCGGGGGGTGCCACCGGGAGGGTTGCGCAACGTGGCGCAGAGGAACGGAAACCAACCGCGGAACGACGGGCGCGTAAACGACGGGCTTTAACGGGGACGACCATCGAAATGGTTATTTTAGACGATGAGGTCGTCTAGGACGAGTAAAACGAGCGCCGAGGACGCCCTGTGTACCTCTCGCTCTCGCCTCGCTCGTTCCACGCGCCAAGCCCACGTCGTAACCCCGGCTCGACCTCCGTCGTTTCCGGCAATCCCCGATGTCGCCACCTCGGTCGATCGGGATCGCGGTACGTCGATGTCGGTTTCGAGCTTCACCTGGTATAGAGTCCTTAGACCAGTTTTTGGGATCTTGGGGAGGGTCGATAAAGGCGTGCCCAAATTAAATCAGAGTGGAGGGTACCTGTGTGCGTGGGATGCGTTCTTCGCGAATCATGTTTCGTCACGCGAAACAAGTTTTTTGGGATCTTGGCGAAAGTCGATAAAGGCTCGGCTAAAGAGTCGTAACCCCGGCCAACTTCCACCGTTTTCGAAGATTCTCAGTATCGCCATTTCTTCGATCAACCTTCCAGCACCCTGTCGTGAATTTCGACTTTTGCTCGGTACCGAATCCTTCGATGATGCCGCGAGCGTTTTTTAGAATCTGGACCAGGGTGGATAAAGTAATAATATATCGCGATAAAGAAATTCGTTAACAAGGACGAACCAAGGCAGAAGACCCCCACGCGCGTGTCATGTGTTCATCGGGACGTAATCGATGAATCCGGGGTCCGAGGGCTGGGTGTTCCGATTCCATCTCATGACTAACATCTCCACGAGTCGAACGTGCCGCCGCGTTGGCGAGCCTTCCCTGAAGAAAAAAAAAAAAAAAATGTACAAAGGAGAAGAGTCGCCTCGATTTGGCGACCTCGAGGTTCCTCGCGACTCTAAACTCCCTCTCTCGAGTTGACCCTATCGGAGCGATTCTTTTCTATCTTTACCAGCCAATGTCAACTTTCCGCGACCCTGAACTCGCGGGATAGCCCTAAGCGCGGTGGCGCCGATCGTTTAATCGATCTATCGTTACGTCAGGTTTTCTGCCCGAGACAAGTCGAAGGCCACGGCTAAATGCTCCACCTCGAATCACCTGAATAAACCCGCCGGATCGTTTCGGCCGCGTCTATCCGCCGTGTCAATTATTCACCCCGAAAGGCCGCATGAAAATTTCACCCGCAAGGAACTTCCGAATCGATTCCCTTCCCTTCTCGTCGCAATCGATAGCTCGCTCTCGCACTTTGTCATTGTCTTCCTCTTTCCTGCCGGGAGGGGCGCATCCCCGAGGCGGATACATAAGTATTCCCTGAGAGTATTCATCCCACGTCAAATAAAATCATCCCTTCCCGTTCCCGAGGGCTGACAGTCATTTCCCGCGAATCCCGTGGAAAGCGGCAGACGGGAAAAGAACCGATCTCCACCCATGGAAGCGGAATTGAGATGATTTAAATCGTTTCATTGAAATCGATGAGCTTGAATGGGAGTCTCGTTAACCGAGTTTTAATTTAAAATATCACGATTCTTTTTTTTAAGGGGACTCGTGCCTACTGATTGCGGGAAAATACCCATTTGTTCTGACGGAAAGTGGAAAAAGCAAAACCCCTCGGTGAGAAGGTTTGATTGTACCAGTATAAAGTATCTCTTTGAGTAGTACCAAAGAAATATTTTTCCCAACTCGAGGAATAATTATTTCACTCGGATAAAGTCGAATAAGTTTTACCGTTTCTTCGGAATTATGACGATTCGCTTGTTTTTTCCGAATCAAATAATCATTCTTTGAATTAATAAAACATTTCTTCGGTTCAAGGATCAAATGGTTTAATCGAAATCTTTTTCTCATTGCTGCCACGGGGTAAACTCAATGAGTCATTAATTCAAAAATATTACGCAAATATTACGCATAAAACATTAATTTTATTTAATGCGACTTTCCAGAATCGTCGAAGGGTTGACCGTCATTTCCTTCGAATCTCGTGATAGGCGACGAGAAGGAGAGCGATTTCCGCCCGGAGGAGGCCCCAAAGTCGATAAATTCGCGAGGCAGCCTCGTTACCAACGACCAGACGTCCCGTTACGATCTCGATCGAGATCTCGATCTCGTCCTTGACCTGCATCACAGGCCGGAGTCTGCGACCCGACCCACTATTCGGAATTTTTTTCCCCTGAAACGGGCGCGATAAAAGCCGTATCGAAATTGGAGCAGCCTCTACCGTGTCCTTCCAGGCCCTCTTGTGTCTTTTTAAGTCAAACTTCCCTAGTTGAAATTTTCATCCTACTTAGAACTCCTAATAGTTGCCCTAAACGGATCTTGAGATAACACTATTACACAACTTTTTATGCACGTTTACTGTGCGCTGGTGGGAATTAATCGTCAAATTTAGGATACATTTCGTCTAAAGAAAGCATTTCAAAGGTTACACCCACGTTCGGGATACCTTCAAGCACTTTTGTTCTTGGTGTAGTTATTCCTGCAATAGGAAAGAAATATTGTATCAGCAGCATTGTCCTTTGCTGGAAGGGCATGTTTCTTTCTTTTTCGGTTACGGAGGAATCAAATCGATCTAATGGGACTTCAGGAATATATGACTTGGCAGTTGCACATTTTTCTTCTCCTTTTTTTCCTTCCGGCGGTCTAGCCAAGATTACCGGTCGCGATATCCCGGAATTCGCAGCCCCGCGGAGGAGAAATAAAGAGGAGCGGCAGTGCTCCGGGTAATTCTGGCAGGCATTAAATCCTCCCTGGTTGGTCCTCCCACACACTCCGCTCGAATGCTCTCTCCGGCCCTCTTCGCTCCCCTTGGTCGTCCCGGGAGGGTTCGGTGAAATATGGAAGAGCGGGAATCGGGCCGGGTGTACCGGGAACGCCGACTACGCCGGAACCCGGGAAGGGTAGATCATCGATCCGCGGCGACTCCGCTTTTTCCCCTCTCCCCCTTTTCCGTCGTTTCGGCCGATGCACCAATGCCGAGAACAAACATTTCTTTAATTAAAAAAAATATATGATTTCCTCTAATAATACTCACTTCGAGGGGGCATTCATTTAGGAAATCAGGAATTTTAACGCTCGAAATCGTGTGGAAATCAGCTGTAACTCGCAAGCAGAAATCACTGATAGTCGTTGGAAATTACCGAAAAACTGTCGCAATTTAAAGGCCGAACGTCACTTGTTACCCAATCGGATTGTTGTTTA